CCCCTAGTTAAACAATTTGTTTTTTCCCTTCCCCTCCACAAATTATATCAACATCAAATACAGTGAAAGTAGGGGTTATACCGTGCGGGAAGGACATATAAAGCAACAAAGAAATCATCTTATAAATATGTTAGAAACAATCGCCTGAAAGAAAAAAACATTTGAATACTTATCTTGGGGTTTTTTTACCTAACATCAACTTATCTGGCCTTTTCTGCTTGTCTCAGACATTTACTAGTTATTGCAAATAAGGGAAACTATGGGGCTTATGTTTCTTTGGGCCTGGCTTACTTCACTTAATATATTTTTTTCCAAGTCTTTCCATTTCCTAACAAATGGGGCAATGTCATTCTTTCTGATGGAGGCATAGAATTCCAATCTTTTGAGAAAACTCTATACTGCTTTCCAAAGTGGTTGAACAAGTTTGCATTCCCACCAACAATGCAATAGGGTTCCCTTCTGGCCACATCCCCTCTGTTGTTATTAGAGTTCTTGATTATAGACATTCTAACTGGGGTGAGGTGATATCTCAATGTTGTATTGATTTCCATTTCTTTTATGGCTAGAGAGGTTGAGCATTCCTTTATGTGTTTATTGGCCATTCTTCTTTCCTCTTCAGAGAAGTTTCTCTTTAAATCTTTAGCCCACTTATTTATTGGGCAGTTGTTTCTTTGAGGATTTGTTGTTGGGGTTTTAATTTTTTGAGTTCCAAGTATATTTTAGATATGAGACGTTTGTCAGTTGTATGGCTAGTGAAGATCTTCTCCCAATCCGTGGGCTTTCTATTGATCTTGCTAGCTATGTCCTTTGCTATGCAGAAGCTTTGCAGTTTCATGCAATCCCATTTGTCCAACCTTTGTCTGATTTGTTGTGTTTCTGGGTCTCTATTAAGAAAATTTGGCCTGTGCCGAGGAGCCCTAGGGTTTCTCCTATTCCTTCCTGTAATGTTTTCAGGGTGTCTGCTTTGACTTTGAAGTCTTTGATTCATTTGGAGTTGATTCTGATATATAAGGATCTAGCTTTAGTTTTCTACAGGTGATTAACCAATTTTGCCAGCACCATTTACCAGAGGCTGTCTTTCTTCCATTCTATTTTTTAGCTCCCTTATCAAAGATTAGTTGGCTATAGGTCTGCGGGTTCATTTTTGGGTTTCCAGTTCTATTCCATTGGTCCTCAGGTCTGTTCTTGTGCCACTACCAAGCAGTTTTGATTACTATGGCTTTGTAGTAGTTTGAAATTTGGTATTGATATTCCTCCAGCACTGTTCTTTCTGTACCTATACTTTTAAATGTCAGTCATGCACGTTTGCAGGAATGATTGTTGTTGACAAAAGTTAATCCCTTATAAGCAAAGAATTGGATGTTTGGAGTCTCTAGGTAATGTGGGAGAAAGGGTCCATTTTCCAGAAGGTCAACAGAGGTTAACAAATGATGTTATAGGAAACTGCATTTTGGCCTGGTCCAAAGGTCAACTTGTACCAGGGCAGATAGCCCAGTTCAATAATTCCAGCTTTGTCTGACATGTGATTAGCAGTGCCTCCCATCTCCATTTTAAGTATTTCAGACCATTACTCCCCATTTTCTCTTCTTTTTCTTGATCCTATATAGCCAGCTCTTCATTTATTTCCATAAAGACAAGATCACTTGGAAGTAAGGAAATCAAGAAAGTGGAAAGATCAAATATGTGGATATTAAAGTAAGCTAGGATTATGAAGGAGAAGCCCCCAAATACTGAAGAAACAAATATAGGAATGATGTATGTCTCAGAACATGTAGTATTTGATGAAAATAAGAGTGTCAACAATCTAGATCTGGAGGGCAGTGAACACAGAATGGCTGAGAAGCAGCAGTAAGGAACAAGACCTTCCCAGTTTCAGGGACAGGAAGGGTGTGGGCTATAAAACAACCACTTCAAGAGGGCTACAAGGGAAAGAACCAGGTGTGAGAGCCACAAGGTGAAGCAGTCTGTAGGACAGGCTCCAAGGCTCCAGGGTGTTGAGGATATTTCTGATTATGATTCAATTCTGGATGTCAGGTGGTTTTACATATGCAAGAGGGCTATAAGATGGGATCAGAATATAGAACATCCTGGGGAGTAGATGTGGAAATGAGGGCTACATGGTTGCTTGCACTGCCTGACAAAAATGGAGATGAAGGATGAATTTCATTTGGTTCTATATCCCAGGATAGATATGTCCCAGGAAGTTGTAGATATTGAAGGGAAAGATAGGGCTGCAGATCTGGTCAAAGAGAATTAACAATCTTAGGTACTTATTTAAGACTTCTCTTGGAGTAGTGGAGCATATGGGACTCTGTTTTGACTCCATAGATGGAGGATTGCAGTGTGTCTAAGGGCATTCTTACTCCCGTTGTGAAGGTTTCTAATGCAAGCATAGAAGCTGCCAGGTTAACGTGGTCTTAGTTACCTCAAAGGCCCATTGGCTTCAAACACAAAGCCTAATAAAGATACTGCGAAGTTTAATGCGTGATTTCATTAATGTTCTTTACTAAACTGAATACTTGATTTTTTACTCGGAGGTGGTGAGTGGCTCAGTGGTAGAGCGCTTGCCTTGCATGCATGAGGCCCTGGGTTTGATTCCTCAGCACCACATAAGCAGAAAAAGTCGGAAGTGGCCCCACAAGTGACAAAATAAATAAATAAATAATAAACCCAGCCAGGTGCCTACTCGGGAGGCTGAGATCTGAGGATCATGGTTCAAAGCCTGCCTGGGCAGGCAAATCTGTGAGACTCTTTATTTCCAGTTAACACCAAAAATTCCCCCAAAACCCAGAAGTGGAGCTGTGGCTCTAGTGGTAAAGCACTAGCTTTGAGCCAAAACAAGCCCAGGGACAGCACACAGGCCCTGAGTTCACTCTCAGGAGTGGCGTGCAGATGAGTGTGCGCTCGCACACACACACACACACACACAGAATAACAAAACTATAGGTAACACCTTTTTGGGGAGGACAGTAGTTGGTATACATCATCTATTTCTTAGTGAATATTGCCTTTGAAATTAGCAACAGTACTAAAAAAATAATGATTGCACTACTTGGTCAAGCAGAACTAACATTTCATTTTTTAAAACAGTACAAATCTATTTAAAATTTTAATTAGTATATACACATGTACATATATATGTATATAATACACCATACCAGTTAATTAAATGCTACAAACCAATGTGAACCACTGGAATGGGGCAAAAAGCCCACACATTTAAGCTTTAGGAACCATTCTATTTTCTCTGTAAAATGTTCAAGGAACAGGGCTTCCCTAGTTACATATGTTCATATATCTGAGTATCATCTTTCTAACATGGAGCACAAGCCCAGCCAGTGCTGGGAGAGGGTGCCTGCTGTCATGCCTTGACTGGAAGCTCGCGATGACAATGACAAGCCCCCACCACAGGAAGTCATTGATCACATGACATCTATCGCAAGGTCACAAATTACAAATGTCCTACATAATTGCTTCATAAACCTTTTCTTTTATTAAATGATTTTGTTGTTGGTAAATACTGTGTTTTCCCACCCCTCCCCAGGAGCTGCTAGTTGAAATCCCATGACTCCCCCTCTCCTCCCCGCAAGCATTAGGATTTGAAAACCTTTTTTTTTGTTGGGGTGGAGAGGAGAAACTGGTGGTGGGGGGGAGGAGGGGCAGCTTCTTTGTGTAAAACACATGTGTTTTCAACACTGCTATAAATACAGATACAACACCTGGAGTTACAGTAAGATATTGGGTTCTCCATGGGGTGGGACCAGGCAGGTGTGGGGGGAGGAGACAGGGGTACTGCAGACAGAATGAGGGTGCTTGAAGCCTCCCTGGGGCAGCAGAAGCCTAGAGCTGCCTAGTAGGATGTGCCAGGTGGTGGTTCCATTCATATGGAGCAGCAACCCCAGTTGGGGAAGTTAGGGGAGAAGGGACAGGGAAGGAAAGTGAGGGATGGGGAGCTCAGCCAGATTTCACAGGGGCCTTCTCCAGAGGAGAGCAAGCTGGACAGGATTCCCCTAGAAGTGGATGGAAGTCCAGGCCCTCCCTGGTCCCTGTCTCCTTGGATACCTGGGGTGGGATGAGCAGGGAAGATGTGGGGGAAGCTCACCAAGCCAGGTAGAAGATGGGCCTGGCTGGAGAGGGAAGAAATGCCCTGAAAAGTGTAGGGTCCTGGGAGGCTCTAGGGACATGTGCAGTGGCAGTGGGTGGCAAGTTATCAGCTAAGCATAGCCCCTCCCCACCCAAGATCCTCTCCGCAGTGCCAGCTTGGCCCAGCACAGCCCCTACATGTGCGTGCAGACCAGGCCGCACCACCCCACTGGTCTCTTGCTCCCCCCACCCCATTCTGTGGGCACTCAGGTTATGGTTGGTCGCTATATCCCATCAAAAGAAAGAAAGAAACAAGGATAGTTGTCCTAAATAGCCACACCTCTAAACCCAACAAACAAGTCTTGGGTGAAATGAATAGTAGAAACAGTTACTCCTCACATTCATGTGAAAACCATAAGAGGACATCAGGCCAGGTCTAACCCCGTCTGTCACCATGGAGGATCTGCCACCAGGAACACAGATCTGGGGGGAGGCGCTGTCTCACGGGTGCTCAAGGGGCCGTGGCTGGGACACCTTCCAGCCTGGGGCAGGGCTGAAGCATCCTGTGCCTGGGATGCAGGTCCTCTAGGAACTAGACAACCAGAGCCAGCTGCCTGTCGTTCTGGGGTCAGGTAGGAGGGACTCAGTCTGGGATTTAGGAAATGGCCTCTGGCCATCATCTGTCCCACCCACCTGGCAATGCCACCTGGGCAGCAGGCAGAGCATTTCAGTGCAGAGCTCAGATGAGCTAGGATGGTGACCCCTTTGCCCATGCTGGGGCCAAGTATCCTACTGGCCACACTGGAGGAAATTTGTGGTTCCCAGTGCCAGCAAGAAGGACCCCAGGGTAGTCAGGAGGGAGACTGGGGTTGGGGAAGGGAAGGGTGGGCAGCTCCATGGCAGGCAGACAAGGCCAGCAGAGAGGGAAGGAGCCTTTGGAGCTTGGCAAATGCAGGGGTTTCTTACAGGGGTTTCTGGCAAGGCTGACCCTGGCACCAGTTCTGGTACAATGATGAGGCAGGCCTGGACCCCTCTCTCCCCATCGTTCAGGGTCTCCCTGAGTTTCCAGAGCTTTGGGCACTTGTGAACAGCTGTGAAGCCTCACTCAGCCTCCCTGGGCACCTCGGAGGCAGCCCCAGCAGATGGGACATGTCTGGTTGACCTTGAACCATTTGTCCACACACTTGGTATGAAATGCTGGTTGCAAGGGAGGACTTGGAACACCTGCCGCACCTCGAAGTAGCTGAAGCAGACCATGCATAGCATGTGCTCTGATGGTGACTGTCGGGGCCGAAGCGATATGATGGCAGCTGTTCTGTATCAGCTTCAATGAGGTCCCCTGGGCTTGGTATCTCCCAGCTGCTTGGCCAGGAGAGGAGGGCCTCATAATTCTCTACCTCCATATCACCCACGTCCAGATCTAGGCTTATGGTGGGCCCTGTAGCTGTGGGTGACATGGGCAGCATCAGAGGAAGTACAGCAGGAAGCTGGGGTAGTAAGATGGCAGAGGGGGTCGGGGAGATAGCCACTGGTGCAGGTGGTATATCTGGGTGGGTGCTCAGTCTCCGTGGCATCATGCAAGAATAGGGCTGTAAGAGGGGATGGTGGAGGTCAGGGTGTGGGCCTTCCTTCGGTTATAAATATTCTCTCCAAGAACCAGCAGAGTCATAAGGGTAGACACGAATATAAAGAACTGTCTCAGCAAGGCAAAATTTACTTCTGCACGCAGAAGAGTGCACCATCAGCCAAAACTAGGCTAGCAAGCACGCTGATAACATCTTCTATAAGGGCAAATTCCAGCCTCTTTTCTAGAACGAAAGGAATTCTTACATATTCTAAAATTACAGTTTCTGAGGCTTTAAAGATCCAGACTTCATAGAAACCCAAGGCAAGCGATTGTAGAATGGGAAGGTAAGGAAGACTGTGGACACAGCTCAAGTGACAGAGTAACTATCCAGCAAGCTCAAGTTCAAATCCTGTATTACCACCTTTTTTTTCACTAGAAGAGAAAGGAAAGGTAGATGTGGGCAGTGAAGAAAGAGTTTTCAGTGTAAGTTTGGAGTAAGAACTAACATTGAAGTGGGGAGGAAGTGTAATAAGTATTACCTGTTAAAAACTTAAGACAAATCAAATTTAACAGTTTAAGCAAGGAACTATCATGGAAGCTGGGTGCCAGTGGCTCATAACCTGCAATACTAGCTACTGGTAGGTGAGACTGGGAAGATCGTGGCTCCAGGCAAGTCTGGCCAGAAAAGTTCACGAAACCTCATCTCAAAAAACTAAAAAAATGATTGGGTGGGGGGGAGGGGGGAAGCTGGGAAGAGAGGTGAAGGGTAAACAAAGGAGGAGGCTGCAATGCTTGGTAAGAAATGTATGCATTTTCCTGCCCATGTAATTGTAACCCCTCTGTACAGTATGTTCTCAATTAAAATAAAAAAAAAAAAAAAACTAAAAAAATGCTTGTTGTGGTAGTATATGCCTGTTGTCTTAGCTACTAGAAGTATAAATAGGAGGATCATGGTCTAGGATGTCCAAACAAAAAGTGATTTTACACACACACACACACACACACACACACACACACACACACACACACACACACACACACACACACACACACACACACACAATGGGCAGATAGGGCTGGAGAGTTGGCTCAAGCAATAGAGTGAACTCAAACACAAGTAGCACCAGGAAGAAAAAAAGCATGGCTAGAGTAGTACTCAGAACTCATCTCTTCCCAACAACATGAGCAGTGAGCTACGAAAGTGAAGAAATTTTTTGGTTGACTACAGCTAGACATTTGTCTTGCTTGGTAGTGATCTGGTGGGAAGTCCCTACTTAGATGTTAGTTGGCGGCAGTTTCTGGTGCTTAACTTTAACTTTCATTTTACGTTGAACGGGATTTTGATGTATTTACACAGGAACCCAAGACCCTGGAGTCATCTCAACTTACTGGCCTATCAATTATTTTAACAACTTTAATCCCTGTCAGTCCAGGACCAAGGTGGAATGCTGTTCACTAAGCACTCCAAATAAAAGAAAATTAACCATTGCATTTGTCTGTTCACCACCCTGTGTAATCACCAAGCCTGATCCAAGTCTCTCCTTGTAGTGACAGCCTGGGGTGAGACAGCCCTGGGAGCAATGTACAGACCTGAGAGTTGTACCATCTAAAATGCATCTGGGTTTTATACCAGGCTTGCCTCAGATGCATAGCCCTGCAGCAGCTTCTGGAAGAATCCATATCCTGATTCCCAGTTAAAGGGCAGGCCCCTCATGGCCACACTCATCAAGTGACAGATTAAAGGGACCTTAAAGCAATTTTAGTGTAATTCCCTTCCTGATGCACGAGGCCCTTCAGAAAATGGCATTCTACTTTAGAGTGGCCCAGCATTTACCACCCCAGAGGAAGCCTGTTCCATTTTGGTCCTGTTCAATGAATAGAATGTTCAGGCTCGTTGAACTGAAATCCCCATAGCTTCTTTAGCAGAATTCCTGCCAAGTTTTTGCAATCAGTTTAATAAGATCAGTGGCTGCCAGTTATAAGCCCTAGGGTATCTCTCTGGTGACCTGAATTCAGAGTCTCTTGTGTAGAAATAGCTGATTCAATGCTGATTCTATCTTAGTAATCATTTTTTTCTATATGCATTATGTACAAGTGCCTTTCATTGCAATAAATAATTCTTTTACAAGCATTAAATAAACTATATTAATACCTACCATGTGTCAGGCACATAGATTTATGCTCATAAATGACCCAGTGAAGGTCCTACTTTTCAAGATTTTTATTAAAGAAAGAGTCTGGAAAATGAGCTATAATTCCCAAAGTGAGTCAAATACTGTGCTATAGGACTTATTAGAGTGCCTTAGAAGTTTATGGATGTTCCCACTTAATTTCATTTGAATTTTAATTCTGAAAAATCAAGAGTTTTTTTAAACTTAAATGTCAACTTTATTCACCCTTAATAAATATGTGTGGGTCCTCCATTTTCATTATCCCTCATTCAAAGACTATCTCCAGGGTGAAGTATATGCTAGGTTTCTCCTAGTGGTTGAGGTGGAGTTGGGTGGGTGGCTCTTGCCTCTGTGTACTTTTTATTGCTGATGCCAGATTTGGCAGTTTTCCCTCTAAATAGGGACACTCTGGTACCTTTCAGAGTGATAGTTCTTGACCTTCTGCTGATAAAACCTGCACTTCAGTGTACTGATTAGCCAGTGAAAGAACAAGGTGAGACACACGAAGCACAAGTATTTCATATACATCTATAGATATAGATATCTATCTGTCTATCTAATCAATTCCTTTTATTAACTGCTTTTGGTAGTAATGAGGTTTGACTCAAGGCTTCCCACTTGCTAGGCAGGTGATCTATAGCTGAGCCATACCTCTAGCCTTTCTTTGTCCTGTTTATTTTTTAGATAGAATCTAATTTCAGGTTATTTTTGAGAGAGGCATGTGCCTAAATGGTGGTACTTATTTTAAGCTTCTCATCTTAGCTGGGATAATATGTGTGGGCCACCACACCCAGCATTTGGTATGTGTCTCATGAACTTTTCCTCCTGGGATGACTTTTAGCCATGTCTTCCCAATCTCAGCCACAGTGGGTCCTTGCTCCCCTACTCAGAGCCTGTCATAGGTCCTGAGGGAAAAGGAGGCCTACATTTCACCAATAGCTAGAATTACAGGCCTGAGCTCTGAATCAGCTTCAGTTTCTTTTTCTGGAACAGTGGTGGCAGGCCTAGGTGAAGATGGAAACAGGAACGAGATGTTTTCTTAGGATTCTGTTATATATTTCAAGACAAAAATGATTACTAAATATATCTCCCCAAGTGTCAAATCACATAAGAGCTTCATTTCCCTGATAGCATTCCTAGCCTTAAGCCATCTTCATAGTTTTTAATGAAATCTGGGCTGATAAAAAATTCTCCATAATTATATTTGAAGTTATGGCTGAGAGAAAGGGATAGGCAGAGGGCAGCTAGCATATTTGCTGAGTAAATCATATGGCTGATTTACTTCAGTTGCTGCCCTTAAGGATGACTGAGATAGGTTTGTGAGAGCCTGGATACTTCTTGCAGCTCAGCAGCCACCTCTGAGACTGTTAACCCAGAAGGACTTGAATGGTAAGAGAATACTAGGGGCAGCCACCATTAGGCTTTAAGACCATGTTCCCCAGTGGAGGAGACCTTGGTTATGTCAGTCATATTAAGACATTGGCTCATCAAAATAGGACTGTAAGAACCCTACTATCCTACTCAATGCCTGGCATGGAAACTATTGTACATTCCATAGTCACCAGGGGTGTGCAACAGCCAGGTGCTTTGCTTTGAGCTCCACTTCAGATAACTCAGGGCTTTCTCAGTCAGCAAGGGAGATTCCTCCAACTTTAGTGATTTACATAGTACAGGCGGCCAGATTTGCCAGAACCTGAGGGAATTTGCTGGAGCTTCTGAGATATTTGTGCATCCTATCCTCTTGGACAATGTGATGTGTGTTTGTTGCCCCTTAGCCTATTCAGAATACTTTATCTCATGAGGGAATTGAAGTTGAGGACTAACGTTGCCATGTGGAGGAGGGAATAAGAGGAAAAAAAGAGAAATAATGAAAGAGGAGCACATGAAATTTCTATTGCTCTGTACAAATTATCCTTAATTAAAAGAATAGCTCTTAGTTCATATAGTGTCTGGATAAGGAATTTGGCCGTGGTCTACCTGGCTGGTTCTGACTCAGGTTCTTTCAGATGTAGTCAAGACATCAGCTGAGGATAAGGGATACATCATCAGAAGACTGGCCTGGGGCTGGAAGATCTTACTTTAAGACTGCAAATGTATGGATGGCTTCACTTTTTAAGAAGACAACATCATTTGTAGACACATTTTAAGTCTTCATACAAGGAGCTGGAATTTTTATGTAATTATGCCTGAAGCTTCTCCTACTGGTAATTGAGCTAAATTTTAAAGCTTATGTGATTTTTCTTTCACATACTTGCAGGAAAAGGCATTGTAAATAACAGAAGAGGTATGAAGTAATGGGTCTGGGGAAGATTTTTCTTTTGAGGTGATAAGTTCTCATGAAAGAAGATAACTGTTAGGGAGACTAGACTTTTCTTTCACACAGGAGATCCAAGACTCCACAAAGGTTCCTAGGCAGTATGTTAACAATGCCTTTCATTTTCTATATTTTGATGCTCTGACATCTGGTCTTACTGGCCCTGGAGGGGCTGACTGGTCTTCCCATGGATAGCTAAGTCCTAGGATTGTATATAACATATCCATGAGTGAGTTTTTTGGGTGCAAACCAACTAATCCAGGGCCCACATCCTTTACTGAGCACTCATACTGTGGGCCTTTCTCTATCTACCTGTGCTGATCACCTGTAGGTTTGGTCTTTAAAGGCTCTTGCCCACAGGTGTCACCCAACTCCACACCTTAATTATTTCCCCTGTGGCCCCATGTGATGTGGTGTGCCTAGTCTTTGGAACTGTGAGTAACAGACTTATTTTAATGACAACTGTATCCTGATCTATTTATTAGCCTTCCTATACATCAAAATTTTACTAAGAAATTATACTTTTAAACTTTCCATTTCCAAGAGATCATATGTGGGTAGCTAGACATTGCCCCTTTTTGAAGGTTCTAGATTATACAATATCCTGGGGCAAAGAGGAGAGAGTGACTGGCTAGTTGAAGAAGTGGCAAATTTAATATAAATTTAAGGGAAAAGAAGATAGTATGATGCTTCTTTACCTAAGAGTGGTGATTACATAAATTTATACTTCCTATGTAAAATTTTAGAGAAGTATGGCGTGATCCTAATAAATAATTACTAGGCTTTTGTTATTTTTAGTTTTCAAAGCAATTTGAAAAGATTTATTTTTAACAAATCTCTAGCCCTTACAATCTTTGCTTTTAACCTCATGGCCCACATAAGCACTAGGATGTGTGAAACATTTGGTGATAATTTTTTGTTTTTTCCAGTTGTGGGCATGAACTCTGGGCCTGAGCGCTGTCCCTCAGCTCTTCAGCTCAAGGCTAGTGCTCTACCACTTGAGCCATAGTGCTACTTCTGGCCTTTTCTGCTTATGTGGTGCTGAGGAATCGAACCCAGGGCCTCATGCACGCAAGGCAAACACTCTACCACTGAGCTACCTTCCCAGCCCTTGGTGACAATTGTTCTATACAGTTGATACATGCCTTACCCCATCTACATTTGCATATACGTTTTATTACTTCAAAAATCATCTGATTATTTTTGTAAATTCAACCATGAGTTTACTTCATAGAATATTTCAATTTAAGCCTTCTGGCAGTCTTCTGTTTCTTGAAAATCTGAATCTATACAATATTTAGTTTCATCTAGTAGACAAAAGGAATTTATTCTTTTGGGGTTTTTTTTTGTTTAGATAAAGGCAATTTGCATTCTTAGAAGTTTCTTTCTGTGGCTCAAAGGGTAGAACAACTGCCTGCCAAGTATAAGACCTTGAGGTCAAGCCCCAGTACTGCCAAAGGAAGGAAGGAAGGAAGGAAGGAAGGAAGGAAGGAAGGAAGGAAGGAAGGAAGAAGCTTTTTTCAACAAACTGTGCCCAATAGTTACATGCTCAGAAAGGATCTCTCTCCTTTGTGGTTGTTCTGAAATCTTTACAGTGGTTTGCTCAGGTAAGTTCTTGTCTTTAAAATGTTCCTTCTCATCACCCCAAATGACCATAAATCATTAGTGATGATAAGGAGTTCCCTCATTTGTACTAAGATTCCAAATTATCTGTATCTTTATGTAACATTATTTCATTTCCCTTCAAATGTCATAGAAGAAATTGTGGGAAGGTACTCTTTTCTTATGCCATTCCTTTTGGTCTCTTGTGAGAAAAGGAGTATCACCTTCCATTCATCCATCCAGCCAGCTATCTACCCAAGTTAATTAGTTTGGAATGAGAGATGCTTAAGACACTATTCTTCCTTTAAAGAATTTGAAAAGAAGACTGAAAAACCAACCAACAATTGGAAAAGTGTGTACAAAAATATCTAAATAGCACCAAGAAGATGATGATACAAAGGGTAGATGGTACTTCAGTTATTTTTGCTATGTAATAAGCTACCCAAGAACTTAATGACTTAAAAAACAATTATTTATAGTTTCTTTTGATCCTGTAACTTGAGGTTGGCTTACCTGGGAGACTCACTCGCTGTATGTGTGTCTACTGAAGCAGAAAAACCATGATAACCTCTTGACTTGCATGCCTATTTATTTGGAATGATTTGAACGGTTGGGTAGTGGTCAGACAATGTTTCCCCGCAATGTAGCATCTCTTCCTGGCTTTCTTGGACTTCATTCTGCAGCTTTCTCAGAGTAGTGATGGCTGCTGAGAAGAATGAGGCAGCAAGCCTGGGTTTGGAAGTTCTAGAATGTCATTTTCACTTCATTCTATTATTTTTTAAATTTTTTTATTGTAAAGATAGTATACAGAGGGTTACAGTTACATGAGTAAGGTAATGAGTACACTTCCTATTGAGCATTGTTACCCCCTCCATTGTTTTCCCCCTACTATCCCTTCCCTCCCTACCTTCCCCAAGGTTCTTTTTTTTTAAATTGTGATTAAGTGATTACATAATTTCCCAAATTTCACAGTATTGTGGAATAATGATGCTCATTTAAAGTCACAAGCTCATTCTAACTTTCCTGGAGCAAATTGTCTATCATGGTCTATAACATATAACGGTGTACACATATACCCCATACATGTGATCAGCAGCATGGGGATATTTAGTAGTGGTTCGACCAGATGAGTGGAAGTTCTTTGTTTCTTAAGTCCTGTTAATTTTGTCGTATCACCTAACATTTTGGATTTAACATCTACTTATCAGGGAGACCATGTACCGTTTGTCTCTTTGCTCTTGGCTTACCTTGCTCAACATGATTTCTTCTAGTTCCATCCATTTCCCTGCAAATGCCATTATTTTGTCATTTCTAATGGCTGCATAATATTCCATTGTGTATAAATACCACAATTTTTGGATCCATTCATCTGTGGTGGGTGTTTCCATATCCTAGCTATTGTGAACAGTGCTGCAATAAACATGGAGGTTCATACTTCATTCTATTATTAAAGCAGGCCCACAACTTGAGCAATATACTGAATGTTTGTGCTCTCGTAGATTTCATATGTTGAAATTATAATCCCCATTGCAATGATACTAGGAAGTGGGCTTTGGGGAAGTAATTAAGCCATGAGGATGGAACCCTAATAATTATCCCATATAAATGCCATACTGTAGAGCTCTCCTTTCTGTTCCTGCCATGTAAAAATATAAGGAGATGGGGCTTGGAAGGTGGCTCAGTGGGAGAGTGCTTGCCTTGCATGCATGAGGCCCTGGCTTCAATTCCTCAGCACCACATTAGCAGAAAAAGCTGGAAGTTGTGCTGTGGCTCAAGTGGTAGCACCCAGGCCCAGAATTCAGGCCGCACAACTGACTATATATATATATATGTGTGTGTGTGTGTATATATATATATATATATGTATATATATATATATATATATATATACATATATATATATATATATATATATATGATGTCGAAGGTCTGCAGCTTGGAAGACAGCCCCACTCGACCTTGACAATACTGTCTAGCACCATTATCTAAGACTTCTGTTCTCCAGAACTGTGAGAAACAAATTTATGTTGTTTATAAGCCACCTAGTCTATGTACTTTGTTATAACAGACTAAACTAAGACACTTACCTAATCCTTTTTGTGTGTGTGTGCCAGACCTGGGGCTTGAACTCAGGGCCTGGGTACCGTCCCTGAGCTTCTTTGTTCCAAAGCTAGCACTCTAACACTTGAACCACAGCTCCACTTCTTGCCTTATTTTTTGAGTAGTTTATTGTAGATAAGAATCTCATAGACTTTACTGCCTGGGTTGGCTTCAAATCATGATTCTTAGATATCAGCCTCATGAGTAGCTAGGGATTTGGATGTGAACCACCACCAGTGCTAGGCTCAGTCTTTTGAATTTTATGAAAAGGACCTCCCTTACCCACTAACTCTTACCGTGCCCCACAGCACTGCCAAGAGAACTAAGTATGAGTTCACTCTGACCTAAAGATAAATCAGGGAGCTGGGCTCCGGTGGCTCATGCCTGTAATCCTAGCTACTCAGTAGGCTGAGATCTGAGGACTGTGGGCAGGAAAGTTCATGAGACTCTTATCTCCAAGTAACTGCCAGAAAAATGGAAGTGGAACTATGGCTCAATCGATAGAGCAATCGCTTTGAGCTGAAGAGCTCAGGGACAGTGCCCAGGCCCAGACCATTACCAACAACAACAAACAAACAAAGGATAAAACAGGGAGAGTAATTGCTGGAAATGCAATAGAGTCTAATATCCATCCATATGAGATCTTCTTTGATGTTTCTGACACACAGCCGTCCTCTCCACACTGTACAACTTCTTTTTCCCCTTGTGACATGCTCTAGTTATGGAGAAGAGGAAGATCCATAGACAGTAAATTACGGTTGAGGGAATATGTCTGTGGGCTCAGGAAGAATAACGTACAGTTCCTTCTTTGGTCCCACCTGGAGAGAAAACTGGAGGGAACACAGTATATGCCAGAACAGAAAACAAAATGGTGCGTGCTGAAGGAGCCAGGCTGAATGCTGGCTGAGGAAGCTGCATGGCTGGCTGTCACATGGGAGGCCTGCTAGCTCCCTGGGGACTAGAGTTTCTTACTGAAACATGGACTTATTCTAAAAGAAAAAAACCTGCCAAGTTTCTAGCATCAAAAACTCTGAAAGTGATGCTATTTCTATGTTATTTGCTCTTCGGGGAATTGTTTCTTTGCTGCTCTCTCTCTAGATGTAGTGACTTTCCTTGGATTGTCCATTTTTCACAGCTGGGCTAAATGGCGCTAAGAGTTTAAGTGCAGAACTTTATGTGCCAAAATCATAAAGTGGGAGCTATCCCTGACCCTCTTCCCCTTTCAGAGTCTGTGTGGTGCCAGTGGCAGAAAAGATAAGGAAGCGTATCCCAGCTAGAAGAGAAAAGACTGGCTAGGAACTCTTGGTCCATTGAGCTGTCACTTGAATTTTCCTTTCCGGCTTTCACATCTGGATTATGCATCTTTCATTTCTTTATGGGACACTGTTGCTAAAATCTTGGTCGGGGACAGAGTCTGAAGTAAGTTAGTGTGATGGAGAGGAACGGTCACACATCATCTCTACCAATGCCTACTTCTCCCTGCCACTCCTAACACCACACACACATACACACACACACACACACACACACACACACACACACACACACAGAGTCATCACAGAGTCATCACAGAGTCATCACAGAGTCATCACAGAGTCATTGATGTCCTGGGCCAAAGCAGCCTCAAAATTGCTGTGTCATTTGTGCAGGAGCTTGTTTTTCCATCTTGCCAGATCTCTGTGCTCTTTTAGGGCACTGACAGCTCTGCCTGTGAGGATTCTTCTGTGGTTGTCTGCCTTCATTATCACCATCTAAACCAGTCCCTTCTAAGTCAGATAGGGTGGTATCTGGGAGTGCTAGTAAGTTCAGAATCCAGATGCCACTGTATCCAGTGCAAAGTCAAATAGAGTCACACAGTTGTGTTGCCCTTAATGGCACAGAGGCTAACTTGGAAGTTAACAGCATGAACTATGAATCCTAAAGGATAACTGCCTCTTAGGGGGCCAAGATGGGTAGGATATTACTGATGCTCTTGGAACAGCTTATTCAGAGAGGAGAGAATGTTACAAACCAGGTGGCTGGGGTCCCTCTATTCTATCAGATTAAAAAGCTTGAGTAGCAAGAAGACATTCCAGTTATATTTACAGGCAGTGGAGGGAATGACAGTGGCAGTGATCCCTAGCGCTCTCTGTCTCTCTCTCTCTCTCTCTCTCTCTCTGTCTCTCTCTCTCTCTCTCTCTCTCTCTCTCTCTTTCTGTTGGTACTGGATCTTGTACTCACAGCCTCAGGCTCTTGCTTGTTTTTTTTGCTACTGACTAGTGCTTTACCATTTGAGCCATTCCTTCAGTTCTAACTTTTTGCTGGTTAATTGCAGATACGTGTCTGGTGAATTTGTCTGTCTGGCTGGGTTTGAATCTTGATTTTCAGATCTCAGCCTCCTAAGTAGCCAGGATTATAGACATGAAGCATTGGCTCCCAGCAGCCCTAAGTCTTTGACAGGCAGGGGCAGTAGATGTGCCTTGGGTTGTAAGCTGAGTTTCTGACAGCTTAGTGTGGCAGCTGAGTTTGGTGCCCAGGGTTTGACTAAGGTCCTAACTGCTGCAGCTTTTTTTGTGCTCCATGAAGAGACCTGCTTGGTCAGGGGGCTTTTAAGGGGCTCATCTCCCAGCAGAGTGTCACCTTTGCCATCAGTGTCAGGTTTACTTTTGCCCTCTCTGCTGTATGCCATCGCGTACACTCCACAGCTGTCTCCACAGCTGCCACTTCCACTTTCCTTGCTGCCTGCTGCTTGCTCACACTACTCTTGTCAGCTTTTCATGGGCCAATTAGTAGGGGCCAGTCAGCTCCTGATGCCATGGGAACCTCTTTGTCAGCCTCACTGCTGCCCTGCTGCTAGTGCCCTGTTACTAGTGTTCCCACTGTGGCAGGAACCAGAGGAGTCTTTTTTTCTGTTTGTTCCTGTTATCACCCAGAAAGTGAGGTGCAGCAGTAACAAAGGTGTCTGCACCCATCACCGCAGGCTTCTCATGCAAATGGAGGATTGTGTTTACACCAATTACATGTCTTCTCTTGAGCCAAAGCACTTCACCTCTGACAGTCCTTTGCTCAAGACAGCCTGAACCCCAGATAAGGATCTAGCAGCTGCCAATCACAGAGTTAAATCTCAGCCCCCCTCCAATATGTCAGTACTTTTAAAAGAACAAGATAAAGAAGAGGAAAGAAGAATGGCCAACAGACATATGAAGGAATGCTCAACCTCTCTAGTCATAAAAGGAATGCAAATCAAAATAACATTGAGATTCCACCTCACCCCAGTTAGAATGGCTATAATCAAGAACTCTAATAACAACAGATGCTGGAGGGGATGTGGACAGAAGGGTACCCTACTGCATTGTTGGTGGAAGTGTAAACTTGTTCAACCACTTTGGAAAGTAGTATGGAGGTTCCTCAAAAGACTGCACATAGAGCTCCCCTATGACCCAGCAATCCTACTTTTGGATATTTACCCAAATGATCACAAACAAGACCACACTAAAGCTACCAGCACAACTATATTTATTGCAGCATTATTTACCATAGCTAAGATATGGAACCAACCCAGATGCCCCTCAGTAGATGAATGGATCAAGAAAATGGGGTATATATATATAGAATGGAATTCTATGCCTCCATTAGAAAGAATGACATTGCCCCATTTGTTAGGAAATGGAAAGACTTGGGAAAAATTATATGAAGTGAAGTAAGCCAGGCCCAAAGAAACATAGGTCCCATGGTGTCCCTTATTTGCAATAACTAGTATATGTCTGGGACAAACAGAAAAGCTCAGATAAGATGATGTTAAGCGAAATGAACCCCAAGATAGGGACACAAGTGGTTTTATTCTTTCTTGCTATTGTTTCTAATGTATTTATAAGGTATCATGTGTTTTTCTGTTGCTTTGTATGTCCCTCCCCCATGGTATAACCCCTGTTTTCACTGTATTTGATGTTGGTATAATTTGGAGGGGAAGGAAAAAAACAAAATGTTTAAGTAGGGATACAGGTTGACCCATTGCAACAATGAGATGTAGAAGACCCTGTGTTGAAAAACAAACTTTACAATTTAGGCAGGGGGGGTGGGGGGTTGGAGGGAGAGGGGAGTGTAGTTGTGGAGTGGGAGGGAAGGGATGGCAGGGGAAAAACAAAGGAGAAGGCAACAATGCTTGATAGGAAATGTACTCATCACCTTGCTCATGTAACTGTAACCCCTCTATATAGTATTTTCACAATAAAAAAAAAACTTATTTTAAAAAAAGAACAAGAAACTTTTGGAAGGGTTCTTACCAAAAAGGCTTCTAACAGAGTTTAACTTCAGTCCCAGTGTTCCAGAGGTGGAGCCCTATCATCTTTTTCAGTAGATTTAAGCAAACTCTCTATCTAGAGGATCCAAATATGGGATTTCCACAACCCCCCCCCCCCCCCAGATCCTTTTAAGAACTTTTTTTTGGAGAAATACTGGTATTAAGGTGGGGAGAAAATGGAGACAAGTTGACATCACATTAAGAAGCAAGAATTACTGCCACACTCCTTTTTAAAAGCAGAGGGGAATCAAGGATGCTGCCCATGTTAACAGCCAATAGTAGCAGGGAATTGAATCCAGGACTCTTCGGTGCCAAATAGCCTGACTTTTTTTATTAGACTCTGGCAGTTCATTCATGATATTAGGGGCTCTGGGCAGGGCATTTCTCCCTCTCTGCTCTACCTATGGCCTCTTTCCTCCAATCTTGGATGTATCATGTGCTACAATTTTCCCCAGTTCTCTCTTCAAAGATAAGTACTCACTTGTTCTGTTTTAAAGATGTTAGTATAGGTTCCTAGATGACAGTTAAGAGCCCTGTAGAATCCATGCTGTACTTGTCTCTTGTTCAAAGGCCTTGAACCCCTCCTGAAATGGCTAAGGAAAGTCCTGGTAAACCATCTGCCTTTTCTTTATTCCAGAAGTGGAGTACACCACAACTGCCCTCTCTTCTTCTGTTCCCAGATCAAGGATTAACATGGGGATACTTCTTTCCTTGGTAAACTTTCCCTTGGACCAAAGGTGCCAGTCTGAGTGTGGAGAATCTCTTACATCTGGGTAATGTGCAGAGCTTTTCAAGTTCTTGGCTTCTGTCATTCTCACGTTGTCCTCTGGGCAGCATTGTCTCATTAGTACTTTGGCCCCAGTCCTTTTCAGACCTCCGTGGCCCTGGCTAAGTAAATAGGCAGGTACCCCTGGCTGATTAGGACAGAAAGCATCAGAGTATATTGATGAAATAGTCCCCATCAGCCAGGTCACTTACTAACAAACCACACTGTACTCAAAATTTAAAGCAGTCAATTCATACTGCCTAAGAAAAGTTCTGTAAGGGAGTTGAAGAGTTGTGAACAGAGCGATGGACTGCTATGGGCTGTTTTATTTTTGTTGTTGTTGTTTCTTTTCCCTCACCCCAGTAGAGAGATGGTAGAATTAATTTGGCATAAAATAGGTGGTTATCTCATTAGGTGATTTTTTTTTTTTAGGGAAAGCAGAGATGGTGTACCTTGAAAACTGTCTGGCATTGGCCACCGCCATGGAGTTGGAGAGGGAATCAGCAACTTCAGCCAGCGATGAAAGTCAGTTCATTACCACCAAGACTTGACAGTACACTGAGCACCCAACATTATATTTATGCTACATAAAATAATGTAATACACTTTTTATGACTTAATTTAATCCAGTAGAGGGTATCGGTTTAATAAAGACAAGGACAATAGAATCAAAATTATCCATAGATCTACATAACAAAAGGCTAATAAAAAGAGGACTGAGCTAATTTGACAAGAAATAGATAGCAGTGTCATAAAATGGAGAGAAAGTGTCTCCCTCTGAATTTGTGTAAGTGGACAGGTGCTGATATCTGTAAGAGGAAAATAGAAAAAAAAAACCAAAGAAATAAACAAACAAAAACAAAACCCGCAGCATAGTCTTTGTTAAATTCCCAGGCCAAGCACAAGTTCCTTTCATTTATTCATTCTTCTGACAGCAGAACAGACTTTCTGATGTGAAAAACTTTAATGTTTTAACAAGTACTCAGCAAACAAGCAAACTTTTCTGTGGTTGTATGAGGTTTTACAAAGTTGACTTTCAACTTTGTTCCTTGCTTACCTTCTAAGTATCCATGACAACTGAATACAAATGCTTAATATAAATATGAAAGTGTCTAGCTGCTCCACAGACCCATGGCAAGATAGAGACTGAGATCTGAGTGTATCTTCACTGAGAAAGGAAAAAGTACAGTGATTGTGGGTGGATTTAAAGTCAGTGCCACCCACCAGCTGTTTACAAAGCTTCCTCCAAGAAAGTACCTCAGGTCAGGATGCAGTGGGGACCCAGAAAAGTCTGCAACCTAGTCCCTGATATCAGAGAAGCTTATAGGTTCTTGAGGATGCAAATTACTCTTACATGTTGGCATTTCTTTTAAGGAGTTGGGGTTGAAGTTTTGTTATTCCTGCCTATAAGGTTTTCTGAGCCATGTTTATCACCAAGTTCCTGGTGATGTTAGCCAGAATCTCTTTATCCTCCATCTACTGGACAATTCCCTTGAATCACCCACCTTCCCTTCTGGAAGGAGCCTAACCCTGACTCCATTCCCCCCCCCTCCCCCAAGGATACAGGGATGAACTTGAGTTTGATCCAGTCCTGTCAGACTACTGTTATATTCTAGGCTCTTTGATCTCTATAGTGGAGTGATAGTTAATTTTTTGTGCCAACTTTGCTAGGCTACAGTACCTAGTTATTTGATCAAACCTTATTCTAGATATTGCTGTGAAGGATTTTTTTTAGATGCGATTAATATTTAAATCAGTAGATCAGGTTGTAGGTGGGCTTCATTCAAATAATTGAAGGTCTTAAAAGAAAAAGACTGACCGTTCCCAGAGGGATTCTACCAGAAAACCACTTTGAACTCAAACTATGCCTTCTTCACAGGTATCTTACCTGCTGCCTACCTTACAGGATTTGACTTGCCAAGCCCCATAACTATATGAGTCTATTTATTAAAGTCTTCTCCTCCCTCCCTCCCTCCCTCCCTCCCTCCCTTCTTTCCTTCTTTCCTTCCTTCCTTCCTTCCTTCCTTCCTTCCTTCCTTCCTTCCTTCCTTCCTTCCTTCCTTCCCTCCCTCCCTCCCTCCCTCCCTTCTTTCCTTCTTTCCTTCCTTCCTACCCTCCCTCCCTCCCTCCCTCCCTCCCTTCCTTCCTTCCTTCCTTCCTTCCATATAGATATTACACACACACACACACACACACACACACACACACACACACACACACACACACACACACACACACACACACACACACACACACACGTCCTGAAAACCTGGAGTCCCAGGACCTCTCTGAGTTTCCTCCTGTAGGGAAGGAAGAGAAAAAAAGGGAAGCTGAGTTGGCTAGATCAGGCTTCTCCTTGTTTTATCAGAGTAGTTCCACTTCCAGCTATTTAGTTATTAACACAACAGAGACACTATAAAATCCACCTAAGCCACAGAAAGGGATGGAGGCTAGAAGTGACAGTTGTATAATTGGACCCTTGGAGTGTCTGATGGGGATAGTTCTGTTTCAGAGATCTGCTGATGGTGAAAGCCAGGCTTGAATGAATTGCTAGGAGGTGAGGAAGTGAAAGTGGGAAGTGTAAACTTACATTTTCTAGATTGAATGAAAGGAAGTAGCTTGAGGGAGGGAAGAGCATAAGATTTAGAGAGCATTTCTTTTTAGAATTATTATTATTTTTGTCAGTTGTGGGGCTTGAACTCTGGGCCTGAGAGCTGTCCCTCAGCAATTCAGCTCAAGGCTAGTGCTCTACCACTTGAGCCACAGAGCCACTTCAAGTTTTCTGAGCAGTTTATTGGAGATAAGAGTCTCACCGATTTTTCCTGCCCGGGCTGGCTTTGAACCGCGATCCTCATATCTCAGCCTCCTGAGTAGCTAGGATTATAGGCGTGAGCCACCAGTGCCTGGCTCCTTTGAGAATTCTTGAGTGGAAGGTAGAGGAGTATTTGAGGGATGAGCACTTGGTGTGGCACATCATCCCTCCTCAAGCAGTGGGCAGTGAGAGAGCCAAGAGCCTGCCTAGCTGTAAGAAGCCAGATAAGTTATCTACCCTCTGGAACCTCTACATCTTTCTTCCTGGGGTGGAGATCACTGTGAAGCCTGCTGCACTGGCTTGCAAAGATTCAGTGAGATACAATGCAGAAATGCAGTTAGCCTCGGGCATGGCAGGTGGGGCAGACACTCCTTCCTGGACTTCCCACTGTCTCCTGGTTTCTATGTCTCAGCCTTCATCTGTGGTTGGAGTCAGACAGATTGAGGTTTAAATGCACTGGCTATTTGACTTCAGTCAGGTTTTCCAATCCACCTAACACCTATGTCAACACAGGCATCTGTAAAAATGGGAATAATGTTTCTATTATTTATGAAGATTAAACAAGATAGTAATATAAAGCACTTCACAAAATGCGCGTCTTGCAGAAGATACAGTCAAATAATAAAAAGTTTAAGCGCCTCCATGGAGCTCAAGCCTTTATCTGGCTGCTGTGCATTAGGGAGCACGTGAAGAAGGTAACTGAGTCAAAGCAGGACTGTAGTTCATGGAAAAAATAGGCAGAGAGGGATATATTTCCTTGTGACTTGGCTCAAGTAGCTGTTTCTTCACTAACCCAAGCTTGGAACTCTGCCTCTTGTTCAGGATTGTTGGTGCATCTCTCCAACAGTTCTTTTAAAAGATTTTGGAGTATTATTTTAGGTGAATAACATTGCACTATACTCAGTTGGATAAATTTTGACTTGACAGCTAATTTAAATAAAATGCTTTATAAAAAGCTTTCTGCTATTCAAGGTTCAGGGGAGGAGGATGTAGCTAAAAACAAAAAATAAAATAAAAGGAAAAGGAGAAAGGAGTTAAGAGTTGAAGCAAGGAAACCTAAGGAGCTCCTATAATGTTGTAATATTCTTACAATATTAAGTAAGTGTGTTGAAAGAGTAAATAAATGTGCCTGGCCAATGAGGTATTTTAGTATACTTAGCTGTACTCAGATACAATTTCCATTTCCTGCAGTGTGTGCTTGTGTTTGAAAATAAAACTTAACACATATGGATAGCCAAAGTTTTCCTAAGCTTTCCACTCTGTAGTCAGTCTTTCCTCAAATACTCAGACCAGATAGCCAACGTTTCCTCTCTGGTGATTGCAGAAGTTCTGACCTTTCATGGAAATTTTCTCCAGAAATGAATGTTGGCTTAAGCAGAAATGAATCCTTCCCATTGCTTGTCTCTTTAGCTGCCCTCTGACTTTTGTACTATCCTTTGCCATTTTAGAACTTTTATATAACTTCTCAGTCTATGTGGGATAGATCTTTTCCTAAGTTAAAGTCTTAAGTTTCATAAAAACTTAATAAGAGACTTGGTGGCAGTAGCTTCAACATGCAATCAGGCCATAAGCCTTAGTTACCATAATACATGATTCTTGAACCAAGTTCAGCTCTCTCCTTGGCTTCTTGTTGCCAGCCATTGTAGGCCTCCTAGGTTTTCTTCCAACATAAACAAAATGCCTATAGCTGTTTCCTCTGCCCAGGTTCATACCTCCAACAACCTTTAGGCCTACCAAGAAGGAACATGAGAAAGCCCATACCTACCTGACTCTTCATCATTAGTTTTTTGTCTTCATCCTCAGCCCCTTCCCCAGCGGGATAACTATTAAATAAATACGCAGTCTTTTGATTCCTTCATATGTCAACATTTATGTTTATCTTTGGCTAACCCTATTGTTGCCTTGAAGTGTTCTCTCTTAAATAGAAAATTAGTCTTGCCTCAAAGATGATATATTCATTTCCTATTGTTGCAATGAAACAAATAACCACAAACCTGGTAGCTTCAAACATTTTAAATTTATTACTTCATAGTTCTAGAGGTCAGTAGTCTTAGTTGGGTTTCATTAGACTCAAATTAAGAATCTGTTTCTTTTGGAGCATCTTAGACAAAATTAGTCTCATTCCCATTTCCAGCTTCTAGAAGCCTCCTGCATTTCTTTGCTTCTGGCCTTATTCCATCTTCAAACTTTCCTGCCTCTGTATTTCCCTTATAAAGAGCCTTGTGGTTCTACTGAGTCTACTTCTATGATTATCTTCCCATCTCAATATTCAACGTACATCAGCCAAATTGCTTTTACCTGGTTAAGGTAACGAGTTAGAGGGTTAGAACTTGACCTGGTTCAGCATTTGTGTGTGTGTGTGTGTGTGTGTGTGTGTGTGTGTGTGTGTGTGTCTGTGTCTTTATTTTGCTCACCAATGAGTTCTTCATTATTTGTGTTATTTGTGTAAGAGAAAATACTTTTAATAAATTAAAAACAATTGCTGTTCTGAATACATGTATAAATACCTTGTAATGAGATGGACATGCTTTTGTTGCTGGATTTTTTCATTTCAAGAGGCCTGTGTTTGTTTGGAAGAAACAAGGCAATAAAGAATGTAGGGCAAAAGGGTATTGTAGAATGGAGGTGGAGAAGGAAGTGAGTCTTAAAAAACATTATTGTAAAGGTGATATACAGAGTGGTTAATGTTACATAAATCAGGCAATTACTACATTTCTTTTTGATCAGTGGTACCCATTTTCTCCCAGTTTTTCCCCTCCCAACCTCTAAGACATATAGTTCATTTCTAAGGTAGTGTCTAATGAGTATCTGCAGAATTGATTCACCTTTTGTCCCACTGTTTCTGTGCTTCTCCTTCTCCTCCCCAAAAGTGAATCTTTTAGGATAATTCAAAATAGCAAAAGATGGTTACTAGTGTTTTCTAGGGACAGTGGAACCTATTAACTGGAGAGCTCTGCTTTTTCGGAATTTTGGTACTTAAACTTGAGAATAGGAATGGGGATTAAGTCATTTAATAAGGGAGAGAGTAGAGATTCTCAAAAATTTAAGATCAAAGGATCCAAGAACAATATAGGTGGGAAAGGGAGAGAAAAAGGAAAGAAATAATTCAAGCCAACTTAGCCAAAGAAACAAGCAACAAAAACCCCCACAAAATGGTGGCTAGAATGGACCATAGGCATGAGAGAGATGGGCAGGTATTCATTTCTTTTGTGATTTCAATTTAAAGCCTAATGCCATGGGGGAAGACAAGAATGGAAAAGATGGAGGCATGTTGAATTCTTCCCTGAGGATTATGTTTGGTAAGGAAATGAGATTTCAGCTATGGAATAGGGGCGATCATTCTACTTCAAGATTGATGCCTCTTCAACTCAAGACTGTGAAACAAACTTTGGTTTCTTCACATCTCATCTAATATCCTGTATCTCAATGACTTACTAAATCCAACCCTCACATTTTGACTCCCCTATTGGTAGCAAAAGAGAAACTTCTTATCTTGGCATTCAAGGATCAATCACTGATCATGCTTTCTTGCCACTTGAACCAGATCATTGTTTCCATGGTGTACATTGTCATTCAATGCCTTCATATCTTTCATTTGGCTGTTTCCTTACTCAAGAACTTTCTCATTTTTATCCCTGGAAGTGGTATAAATGGGTAGGGCTATAGGGAAAGGCATATAAAACTTCAACTTTGATTCTATTAGTTATTCTCTGGGAATGCTGCGTAACCTACCAGAGCTTCACTTTATTCTTACTTTCATTTTGATTGCAAGGGTTGTTGGGAGGATTACGTGCAGTTCTGCTGTGACATACTCAGGGATCGACACTGTTGGCATCTCATTTTTCCCATCCATCCCAGCTGGCGTCTCTTCCAAACACCTCTTAATAGCCAGCCATACTGTTTCCCTCAAGGTCCCAACAGACAGCTGTTAGATCGTCTCTCTTGGCGTTTGCATTTGCTGCAT